ACACCCTTTTCTTCAATACAACAGATCTATTTAAACATATTTTTAAAAGGAAAGTGTATTCCTTACTCCTGAGCTGTTCAAGCTATTAATATTCACGTACTTTTCACAAGGTGGCTGGTACCAGTGATCATTAGAGAGCTTTGTGGTGCTTCCCCCAGCCCTTCTCATGTCAGTGGGAAGATAACCTGGCTTTCGGAGAGGCTGCCCAGAGCAATGGGCAATGGGGGGAGTCTGGCCCTTTGGGCAGGAGTCGTGGATCTGGTGTTGCTGTGTGGCCTCTCTAACTGCCTCAATGTGTTTTTGGGGGTTCCCCTGTTTTTATTTGTTATTGTTCCTAAAATAAGCATTGTAAGCTCGAAATTTTTGCCTGAGACTGGTTTTTGGGGGGTTTTTTTCTGCTTTATGGAACTGTTTCCAGCAGAAAGGCAGGTCATGGATTCTTAAATGACTTTAGCATATGGTTTAAATTATATAGCATGTGGTATAAATTTTAACACTTTACAACTTTGCTGATTTTTTGTAAAATCGGAGACTTCAGGAGGTTCCAAGTTTGTCCTGTAAAATAATCAGATGAAAAGAGAGCTTCGGCTACTTAATGTACAATGAACGATAGAGAATGAGAACTAGCTGGAGTTTTTTGACTCCTTAGAACATGCTGAGCTTAGTACTGCTGTAACACAGGGGCTTTCTACAGAGTAGTAGCTTGCCCAGTAAAGTCTATTTTTACATGCTGTGGCTTGGTGCCCGTACTAGTGTGATCAGCCTGGCTGTGGTGCTGTCTGTCCTTTCATCACACTCCTGCTCCGCTCCTTTGCTGGAACTTTCCTTGTTGGAGTATTAATAACATTATCCTGAGAAGGTGCTTAGCTCGCTGGCCTGCCTCCTACCCTATCGACTCTGAGGGTAAGGCTATAGGAACAGCACTTTCAAGCAAGGGGACAACAGGTTTTGCTGCTGAAAGGTGTTAACGCTGTTGTCAATAGAGTTCATGACGGATCAACCTTGTTGTTCGCTGAGGAATGAATCATTTCTCAGTCCCCGCATTAGATGTGGGAGCTGTAAGTAAATGCAGCCTGTCTAGGGTAATGATTTCCACCATGACTTCACTTGAAGAACGTCTCTGTTTTACGACTGCAGAATGGGGTCACTTGTGCATTACCTTTTCCTACATTGCGAATGCTTGTTTCATTCATTGCATTAACATCAAGCCATTTGTTCTACTCAGAATGGCGTGTGCACCAGGTATTGAAGTCACCCAAAGGCTATGATAAACAAAGAGATTTTGCTTCCTCATGTCATGTTCATCCCATATTTACCCTATGGTGAGAGCTCTGTTAGCACAGGAAACTGCTTAATGATATCTCTATGTTTGTTTTTCCCTTGCACTTAGCATGATAGTTACCTATTTATTTCTGCTGAAGCGGATTACAGGCATTTTTCAATTATAAATGATGCACGCGAGCGTTATTTATCCTGTTTACTGCAGACCTATAGAGTGTTAGTCAGTCTTGAGCAAAAGCATCTTGTTGAGGAAACAACATTTGTGGTAGTGGTACTGTAGGTATTTTAGGGCAATTTCAGGATGGTTTTCCATCTGTCCACTAATACTTGCTGTGCAGCACGCTCCTGACCAGCAGCATAGCAGGTTTGTGTTTGCGCATGAAATTCTTGTGCTTGGGAGATTTTCATTTGTGACGTTTCTTCTGTGTTAGCCTCTTGAGGGAGGAGGGGGAAACTCATTGTTCTTCTCTCACAGGAAAAGAAAAGCTTTGTGAGGCTCTAGCAGGTGAATCTTGGGTGAAGCCTAAGTGCTGAGACCCAGTTACAGCTGTATGGTCTTTCTCTAACTCTGCAGCCAAGGCATCCTGAGAAATGTGGCATATAAAGTTAATCTGAAGAATTCATTGCCGTTTTCCTTCAGGATATATTCAAAAGATAATAAAAAATACACTCCTGCAATACAGATTATATAACAGTGAAAGATAAAAACAGTTTGTAGAAGGATATAAGCTGAAGCTTCATGACATGGAATCATAAAGGAGGTCAGAAGGACACTTCTTATTCTAGAGATTTTTGTCCTTTTTTTTCCTCTCTGCTTTTTTTGCCCTCCCTTTCCTTTAAGTATCAGCTGTTTCAGAGACAGGATTCTTGTATGGGTGAATCTCTGATCTCAACCAGCATGGTAGCTCCAGGCCAGTTAAACCAGAGATGTGCAGCAATGGGGATAGAACTTGACATTTTGGGTTTCAGAAACCTTTTCTCTATGAACACAGGCAGAAAAAGGATACAGAGAAGTGCAAAAAAATAGAGAGGAAATTCAAGGTGGTTGGTTTTTTTTTCTTAAGAACTTGAAGAAAAAAAGATGTAAGAAAAGGTTTGCTCTGAAGCCTGAAGAATTTCACAAAATGAGAAGACTTTTGGGCAGTTTTCTAATGGTCTTGCTAAGATCCTGAAACTGTTGTAGTGAGGTGTGGGAGAACAGTGTGTGAGTATAAGGAAAAAGGGGAAAAGCATCTGGAAGGAAAATAAGACTATATCCCATACAGGTCTAAACTGACATCTCTGCAAGTGGTACTTGTTTGCATGTGATTTTTAAAGAAACATGAGATCCCACTCCCCATACCCTTGGAGAAAACATGATTACAGATGCATGGAGCATTTGCTTTCCAGCCCCCAAAGAAATAACGTGACTGTTGATTTCATGCTATTGAAGAACACAGCACATTTGCGGAATATGCTATCAAAAAGATTGCGTATCTGGATCTATATAGGCATACCACCTCAGCAGATTAAAGGGGCGCTGCCAAAGCTGAGGTTCAGAATTGATCTACTTTGACAGAAAATCCCAAAAGGAAGAGTTTTAACCTTTAGGATTCTTTCCATCTATTTGCTTTCTTCAAACTGATTGCAGCTGTCACCAGAAATAAAAACAAAGCAAACAAAATAAAATGCTTTACAACTTATGGTTAGGCAGCAATAAATAAAACATTGTTCAAGTCCCGTGCAAGTTTTACTTACAGTCTTGTACTAAATTGCTGGTAGCGTTTTTAATGATTTTTTTTTTTTTTTTTTTTTTTTTTTTTTTTTGTTCGTAGTAGCCATGGCTTGGAGAAACCTGAATAAATGGAAAAGATGCAGGAACATGTCTTGCAACAGCTGTGCATTTTTAGTGTTTACTGTTGATTCTCCAGAAGCCAGGCAGAACCTACAAAGTGGGTCCTTGGGTTCAGTGTACTGTGATTATTATTTATACAGAATCCAAAGTGTACAGAGCACCCCTTTGGGCATATGAAAGTTCATGCTTCAAAGAGCTTACAGCCTTCAGGGCTAATAATATTATTGCCAGTAACATCTAAGCTGTATATATTTCAAAGCTGCTGTTGCTACTTTCATAATTTTATTGCATATCTTGCTGTACCTGATTGTTGCAAGTTCTGGAGTACCGTGACGAGAAAAGGATCTTCAATTTCCGTTTAAAACACCAAACCATTTTGTCTCTAGGCAAGAGCACAAAAATGTGTCCTGAACACAACGGAGTAGTTCAAAGGCCAAATAAACAGAAAAAAGAAAGGTGGTTTGTTGTGGTTTTTTTCAGTGCAGTTGGCTAAGAAGGTAATGAGGTTTCTAAGATTCCTAATTAGTCATGGGGAGGAAGGACAAGAAGAGACATGTTTGTCCTTGTGAAACTTGGATAGTGGATTCCAGTTTTCTCCCCAGGCCATTAAAATTTGTGATTTTTTTTACAATAACACATTTTTTGGATATGCTGCGGTCAATGATGTCTTCTTCCTAAGAGTGCGCTCCAAGCTAGTTCTGCACTTCACGCAACAGCGTGTTCCCTGCTGGGCACAAGGTCCTTTCTCAGGGATTTCTTCTTTTTTTTCTCCACTCCTTTCCTCATATGTTAACACATGGACATAGAGTGATTAAACTCTAATTTTCCTCATGACATTGAGATCACGGGCAGGCAGCAAAGTACAGAGGAGCTCTTTTGCATTCAGTGTGTTTTCCCATTGGGAGCAGTTCATCCAAAATGATCAACACTGCTCAGGCTTCTGATACTGGCTGGTGGCAAAAAAAAAAAAAAAAAAAAGTACCACGTGAATGAGGTACATGCCAGTATTTATTTCCCAAAAGTAAATTGGCAAGTATCTTAAATAGTGGAACATATTCACAGAAAGTGTGAGTTATTCCTTCAATACCTCTGAAGAGGCAAAAGGTTAAAAAAAAAAATTGCATTATTGGTTGTAAATTCCTTGGCTGTGTTACAAGTAAGTGACTGAAGTGATGGGTTTAATTTGGAAGTTGTGGAGCTCAACAGGGTTAATCCTTCCTGCTGCCTTCCCCTCCTCTGTCTGGTGCTGGGTCTCACCGTTGCAGAGGACACGGGTGACTGCTGTTTGATAGAAGAAATACTGTAGGATACCAGTTTTTGGTCTGGCAGTGTAGGCAATTACATTGTCAAAAATCAGAGATTTCTTCTCGATCCTCTCACAAAGCTTTTCTCCCCTCTCCCTTGTCCAAGTGACACTAAATTAAATAAATGTAAAAATATGAATAGCAAAGAGATGCCAAGGCCCAACTCCGTTAGAGCTGAAAGGGGTCCAGCTTCACTGATTTCAGTGGCAGCACCAGATTTATTCCCGTATCAGTAAGAGATGAACTGGTCTGAGATAACTTCTGTTTATCACAGCAGTTTTCCTCTACGAAAGCAGAAGTAGATGGAGAAAAAGCAGCTGTCTGGTTTTAGGTTTTGCTGGCCTGATAATATGGCTAATGTTCTAATTAATTCAGAGGACGCTTTCTTTTGATTTAACCTTCCTTACTTTATTTTATTATGCCGTGTATCTTTGGCATTTGGTGAAGAGCCATTGTAAATGTGAGAACTAAGCAGCTTGTTAGATAACATCTTTTTTTTTTTTTTCTTTAGAAGATTAAACTGAGACTGTTCTGCCTGGTGCCAGAATAGATGTAACCAATCCTGTATCCTTTGCATGTAGGTCAATCAGAGGGACAATCCAGCACTGGATCCCATTATCCATGGGTTGAAGGGCGTCGTACATCACGGTAAGTAGCTGCTTAAACTTTCTTCTTGCCAGGAAGGGGAGAAGGGCAGGAATATTGTCCTTAAGGGATCAGGTCACCCCTGGAAGGACACAGTGAGCCTGCACATTCCTCATTCACTGATGTTTAAGGGCATCACAGCCATTATTTGATTGGTAAAGATCAGAGTAATTTGTTACCTGAAAATGGTTTGGGGTTAACAGTAAACAATTTGTTTCTTTTCAGTCAGTGCTCTAGAATGCGTAAGTTATCAATCAAAACCTACTGCAATATATCATTCATATTAGTACTTCGAAGGCAGCGTTGATGCCTCACTCCTGCTATTTATCTTCTGTTTGCTCTAAAAATACTCCTCTCTGAAGTTTCTATTTGTTTATAAATTATTTGTCTTTCAAATTTAGGGAGCTGATAATGAAACAGAAAATTAACTATCTATGAAAATTAATTAAACTTTGCAGCAGATGAACATCTTTCTAATGCTGACATAAATACGATCATTCGGCTGTTCTGATGCATATAAACCTATTATCCTTGAACTTATAGCAGGTACTGAAATAAATATTAATATATTTTATACTTTTATAACCAGTTTTTACTTAGGAATTTTCCTGAAACCTTATCACAGGTAATGCATCATTAGCAATGACATCAAGATGCTCCAGTTCCCAAAGTACTCTTGTCGGGTTTTAATATAATGATTTGTAAAGTTTTAATAATCTCATTGTAATTCAAAAGGCATCTGCTGGAATGGTGCTTGGTACGATAATAAATCTCCATCCCATCTATAGTGCTGTGATAAAACATCTTTGCACCTTTTCCGAGTATTGTCTTTAGACATTAGCTCGTGCTGTAGAGCTTAACAAACATTTTTTTTCTCTTGACTGCAGACCTAAAACTAGTTGACAGTGTTAAATTAAAACAAATAGGATTTTGGATTAATTGCTCTACTTTCAGAGTCATTTAACATTGCAACTGGGAACACCAATAAATCCAAAGAAAGTGAAAAATAGGGGTTAAATGATAACATAAAGTCCTTCATTTAGAGAATTTTCCATAGGTTTTGCTGTTTATAAATTGCAGTGTTCTGCTGTGAAATAAAAACAACACACTGAGCTGAAAAACTGTGTTGTTTTCCACAAAAATAGATGTTATTATCTAGCTCCCACTGGGTAACAAAACAGGCTAGCAAAAATAAAGTGAGGATGAGTTGGGCTGCAAGAATTTTTCAGTGGCTATGTAATTTGACACTGAAGTCAAGCTGCCAGTTAACTGGACCAGGATCTCGTTTTAGCTTTGTTCTCTACCTGCCTTCTATTTCAAGACCCTCTACGCACTGCAAGCACGACAGTGGTTTAGCCTTCTCATCGTTTTAATTCTGCTCCCTCTCTTCCTCCTCACTGTTGCAGCCGAAATAGCCACTAGTGGATAATCACACCGGTGTCTCCTAAGAGTATTATTCTATTCCCAAAAATAACTGTTTGGCTAGGATGTGACACGGTCCTGAGGTTGTGATTCCCTGACCACATAATGATTAGTCCATCTTGGTGCTGCCTACAAGCAGCAAGATCTGGGTGGATAAAAGGCGTTTATTTTTGTTTTGCTCACAATGCACAGAAGGCTGCTAGTGTTTCAAGTAAAGGAAATTGCTTGATATATTTCAATAGCTTGTTTCCTTTTCAAAACATTAAGGAAGAAAAAGAGGAAAATCTTGCTTTCCTTCCTGTTTCAAAGGCCCTGATTAAAGGCCTTTTCTAAGGTTCTTCTGGTGGCTAGAGTAAGGGAATTTCCTCCTACAAAGTAGTTGTTCAAAGAAATTGTTCTTTTTAACTTAAGTATTGATGGAATGCTTCAGTGAAGAATTCTCATATAGTATCTCTCTTTTAATGTTATTATATAGAATAATAGTAAAGATGTGAGCTTTTATTCCAGACACACTCATTTCTTTTCTTGATGAAAGTTACTTACATCTTACATGAGCACATTTTTATGAATTTATCTGAAAAGCTTCTTCCTGCCTTCCATTTGGCTGCATTTGACTGGGACCCTAAGGCAACATGGACTTTTTGGCTGAAATACAGTGGAAAACTCTTGTGGTTTTTGGATAGAGTGGTTGGATCAAGCAGGCATCCAACAAAAGGAGCTGGAGAAAGGCAAAATTGAAACCTTAAGTTTCTTTGCATTTTATAACATTTCCATGCCCATGTTGGTATTAGGTGGTCATCACAATACAGAGGCACATGCCTATAATGTAGAAATCAAGAATACATACGAATGTTGAAATAACTACCTTGCTTTTAAATTAGACCATGTTTGTATATCCTCTGCTGGCTGGAGAGACCACCAGCCCCTCAGCTTTGCTCCTCCCATGTGCCTTATCTCAACATGCCTATTTAAGGAAGATTTCCTTGGTTTTCTGTATCCCTCTCCCTCGAACTGGTAGAGCATCCTTCCTGAGTTGTGCTAGACAGTCACTCCTTCCTCATAGTCATTCAGTTTTCAAAGAGGAAATTACACACCCACACAAACACTCATCGTCATCCTCATTTCTTCATTTGCCTTCTGGTGGTACTAGAAGGCCTGGTCCTATATGGGGACTCCACTGCACCACACTGTATAGGGCACCTGCGCTGGCCTGTCCCTATAATGGTGACAGATCCAATGACCCTTAGATGTAGGGATGGTACTGATGAGCGGTGAGCTGGTTTTTAATTTTTCTTGCATAGCTTTTCATTTTTTCTGTGAAGTTCTTGTATTCTTACGGTGCCCTTCCATCAGTAAGTGAACAATTTAAGTGTCAGAAGGACTTTCTGTGGAAGTGAAAGCAATTTTTGCTTGAGATTTCGTCAGGGATTTGAATTACTTACTAATTTGATGGAACATAAATAATTGTGCCCTTCACAGTGTCACCAGCTTAGTAACAATGATAGAGAAACGCACACATAAAAATCAATACCGGCTTAGTCGCTACTCGGAGTTCACTTTGTTTTCTCATCTCTGGGCATGATTTCATAGAATCTTAATGCCACATTAAGCTTAATTTTACATGAGCAACCATATAAAGTTTCTTAGCTGGAAGGAAAACCAGTGGTGTACCAAATCGCCTAACGATGTTTGGATCAATGATAATGCTTTTGGGTTTGCCCCGCATCTTCCTGCCGAACAGCACGTTCCCATCACGTTGATGCTCCCCAACTCCCGCATCCACCCTCGCAGAGCATTGTAAAGGCACACGAACACCGAGGAGGCTCTTTTCAGAGCTGTCAGATGCCTGTTGCTGATTTTAAAATTGCTTTCAGTTTTGTGCTCTGCCAAGGATTTGTCACACCTCCCGCCGGCAAGGTGCCTGCTATTCTCACTCCTGCTTTCCCTGCCGCAAAGCGGACGGCGAGCGTGCGTCTGCCACGGAACCCGCCAGGGACTGACAGCTGGGAGCGTGCAGCCCTCCTTCTGCAGAAGGGATGGAGTACAGGCAGGCGTGATACGAATTTTCTGATGCTGACTTGCCAGTGTCTTTCAGCTCTGACTGCTGGCGGTCTTTTTTAGCTCCTCTGCAAATGCTCTTCTCATCACAAAAGCTGATGGGAAAGGTCTCCAGCAATGCTGGTGCTGGTGGGACGATGCACGTCCTTAGTTGAAGCTGGATCATTAGGTAAAGTAATAAAGTCACTAGTGCCTGGCTGCACTTGCACCACCACACGTGGGCCAGTCATGGTGCTGCAAATCAGACTTTTCTGCTTCTGTTTTGCTGCCAATGTGCTTGGCTGGGTGCCCAGCCCTGAGCCCCTCTCTGCTCCTCGTCCTTCCTCGCAGTGCTAAGGAGCAAGGGGCAGGAGACGGAGCTGCCCTTGTGCAAGGGCTGAGGAGGCTCCCGGGGCCTCAGAGAGCGTGGTTGTGCCCTTGTGGGAATAGGGAACGTGAAATACCAGGGTATGTCTTATACAGTTGATTTGCATTAAAATGGCTACTAAAGCTTTTGTCTGCCACACGCTTCAGCAAGATCTCAGAGGAGCACCTAGCAGGATGGAGCTACTGCACAGAAACATTGCTTTTTCCCACCTCTGCTGTCTTTGACTTGCCCTTTTTAGTACCATTTTGTATGTAAGCCTCTTGGAGATGCCTTTTCCTTGTTCTTACCAGCTGCCTGAAAGGCATTAAAATGAGTCTGCTTCCCTGATGTCAGTCCTGAGGGCAGTGCCCGGTGCTGGAGGCCGCGCAGCATTTGCCCTCTCCCAGCCTGGGCGCGGGTGCTCTGCCCAGTCCTGTTTTACCGTGCAGGCAAATGGTTGTCAGAGGAAGCAGCAGCTCACGCTACCCCAGGCCCCTGGAAAATCCTTCAGGGTGATGGAAACCATGTTTTGTCACTCTGTCCTGTTCTTTGTGTCTGTCAGCAAGAATCTACACGGATCAGCAGAAAATTATTAGCAGAGCACAAATAAATTACCGCAGCAGAAAAGCCTCTATTACTGTCACAAAAATGAGGCTCTTATTCCCTTCCTTGTCAAAAGTGAGCACTGAAAATCAAAGTGCAGCCAGATCAAAAGCTTAGGTACAAAGTGAATCGATGGCATCTGTTGCTTGTTTGCGAACATGGGGTGGGGTGAGGGGAAGAGAGGAACCTTTGTTTATTTAAAAGGGAGTTTGGAAAAAAAATCTTACTTTTTTCTTCTGCCTTTGTATTATTAAAATGCCATAACTTAAGCTCAGCATGGAGCAGAGTGTGATCTTGGGTCTCCCTCAAGATGATTGAGAGGTGTTCAGGCAAGTTGGTGGTGACAACCAAAGTTTCAGGGGTTACTGGAGAGACCATACCAAAATACAGTGAAACAGAATTGCTTTAATAATGGAAAAGGATAGAGAATAAATAAGTTGTGCATCTCTCCAGTTGTCCTAGCCAAAAAGGCAGTGAATAACCTGTTAAAATAAATCAGCACTAAAAAGGAAGCAATCCAGACAGTGTTAGTTACCCTGTGGATCTATCACACCAGAAGGCATAATAACAAGAA